GGTTTGTCTATGAATTTAATGCTTTTCAAAAAGACCTCTCTCACACCACAATATTGTAGATATTTTGATGCAACTTTTTATTTGTGTGTAAAATACGATAAAAATAAATCTTTTCGAGTCTCTCTCTCTCTCTCTCAAAGATATCTCTCTAAATATAATTAACGTAAAAGTGAGAGACATTTGAAAAAGAGAGAAAGAAATTCAGAAAAATTTCTTCATAAAAAAGTTTGTCTCAAACAAAAAGTTATTTCTTATGTTTTAATCTGTATATCAAATGATATATAAAATAAGATTTTTATCTGTTGATCGACTTGTGTTTAGGAAATAAATTTTTATAAGCTCTCTCTCTCTCTCTCTCTCTCTCAGTTTTAAAACTTTTATTTGAATTTTATAGTAAGACATATGAAGTGCACTCTCACTGACACTTCCTTAACCCCTCATGACATGAGTTAACGAATAAAAACGACACCTTTTTTATCCACAAATTTATATTTAATTTATGTCTAATTTAATAACTTATTCTCGATTGAAATTCTTGTATAAAAATAGCAAACATTAGGCACTAAATTATTGAAGTTTTCATAGTTTATTGAATTGCATGTTGTTTACATTGAATTAAGTTTGTTCTCATACTAATTGTGTGCTACTTATCATGTAATTTACTTTTAAATGATTAGCTATTTATAAATAAAATAGAAGAGAGAGAGAGAGAGAGAGAGAGAGAGAATATTCTTATCGATTATACTCAGGCTATTAAGTCATAAATAACTCTTTGAGTAATTCATTGAATAATCATTTATACAACAATTTCAAAGGGATTAGTAAATAAAACACATATAAATAAATATAAACAACATTTTTATAGCCGCTTAAAAACATGAATTATAGTCCGATATAAGTCAACAAATTTTTTTCTCTATTTACGTTTACAGCGATTGAAATGCAAAACATTTTGATAATTAATTATTTGTAAATCACAGTATGAGAGACCCGTATAAATAGTATAATATTATACTAACTTAGTACTGTATACCGTACTGTAATTTAACACACAAACAAAATGTGAGATAAAAAAAAGTTTGTAATTAAATTAACGCAAAACGTAAGTAAATAAATAAATTTTGATTTTTTATGTGGGATAACCGAGATCTGTTATCTAATAAAAAACAATGAATTATATGTTTGTGTTTATACGCAATGGATTTCTACCAAAAAAAACTATTTTCCCAAACACTCTACACGTATAATACTATTTCTATTGAGTAAGTGTTTTGTGTATTGAGAATATAAAGTCCCCAAAAAGTTATGTTTTTAGGAGTAGTAGTAATACATATCAGGTAAAAATAGATGGAATTTAGCTCCAGGTGCCGGTATGGCACTTTGTTTAGTGTGTGTGTGCGCTCGCACTTATAGCTTATATCCTATCTCTTAACGTAAGGGCTATTTCGTGATCGGTTTTCGGGTTTGAACTATCGGTCCATTTCATCATAACTTGTGGCACATAGAGAGCTATTGGTGAGGGGTGGGGGCCCCAGACAACAGTCCCCCTCATAAACGGACGTAACCAATGAATTATTAATTTGTGAGACTTTTCTCTCTCTCTCTCTCTCTCTCTTATGGTCAGTCAATAGACAGTTAACTCTCCAGCAAAAAAATCTCAAGTGTTTTGGTCAACACATCGATAGTATATTCCCTTTCCTTTTACTCTAATCATTACTATTCTCTCTCTCCATAACATAGCATACCTTTCCACTCGTCTTTAGTGGTGTGGAGGTGAGGGTGCAGTGGAAAGCGAGAGAGAGAGAGAGAGAGAGAGAGAGAGAGAGAGAGAGAGAGAGAAAAGTCTCACAAATTAATAATTCATTGGTTACGTCCGTTTATGAGGGGGACNATAGTAATGATTAGAGTAAAAGGAAAGGGAATATACTATCGATGTGTTGACCAAAACACTTGAGATTTTTTTGCTGGAGAGTTAACTGTCTATTGACTGACCATAAGAGAGAGAGAGAGAGAGAGAGCCATAACAAAAAAGTTATTAAAATACAGCACAGAAACACATTTGCACTTATATTTTGTGTAAAAACAGTTATTGTGTTTGTAATAAATTATCGGGTCGTGAGGTGTGAGTGCTCTGTATATACTCGAGTTGTATGGTTGTGAATGCCTATCGATACAATAGGCAATTGGTATGATTGTTAAGTGTACCAGAATATATTTTTTCACGGCTTACATTTTAAGCCTCTATTATGGCTTTTTACACCTCAATAGAAACGACACATAATCAGCACATGTTTAGCGATATCCATGATTATAGACATTGAGAATCAGGAGATTTTCGCGTTTTTGTGACCATTACTTTCCACAGTATAATAGCTGATAGTTACGAGTGTTAGCACCGGGGTATGAGGTGGTGATGAGAAGGTGTTAATAGGCATACGGCATGAGTTTGAAATACTAGGCACAGGTATTCAGAAAAACATTATAAAAAGGAAACGATATACCCAGACACTTTATTTGTCTGTAAGTATGATTGAAAAGCGAAATATAAAGTGTTGTAAATAATAGGTAACATACGAGTAGACAAATTGTATGTTTTTTGGGTGTAAATGAAATATTCATGTGACTTTCACATTAGATTATACTTTATTTTGTCTACTGATTATCCAGTGAATTTTGTTATGGAGTATAAGAATTGGAAAAAGTTTTAGTTTTGAAGTTAATTTTTCAAGTTTTACAGTGAGTTGTATATTAATTTCAAAATTACTAAATTACTAAATCAATCACTTTTTTAGGGAGAAACTTATTAGACATTTCATATATCAAATGTCTATTAAATTTGATAGGAATGCATGACATTATAGATCAATTTTAACTAAAATATTTTATAATTTTAATTTATATTCTCATTAAAGGTAGTATATTAAATTTATGAAATATTTTTCTAATTTAAAATTGAGGTTTAATTGAAAAAATACAAAAATTAAGCATTTATTATAATAATAAATATACAAACATGTAAAATTAACTGAAATTTTGCTACAAAATTCATTTAACTTATTAAAATTAAAATCACAAGAAATAAGATAATTATTGACTGACTTCTTATAAGTCATTAACTTCTCTGACACTAACTCGCAATGGCTTTACTATTAGTCTACGGCACTGGTATGTCAGAGAACCTGGAGTTATATATAGATGAGAGAGAAAGACAGTCAAGACAAAAACCCGGTTATTAAGTTACGGTTGTCTTTTCACCATAAGTTAACCCTGAGTTGACTACTCCCTGACCCTGACTCTCCGGTAAACAAACCGTCGAGAGCCCCTGTCTGTGAGTATCCTTACTTTCGTGAAGTCAATCAGAGGTACACCACAAGTGTCAGCCACTGTCCATACCAATAACCGCAAAACAAACTGTATGACAATTGACAAAGCATGCCATGCCGACTAACTGTCCATCCGATTGACACGCGGCGTTTATACGTCTAGGCTCACGGTCTCGTCGTGGCCAACCCGTGTTGTTTGTGTGCACTGTATGTCTGTATGTGTGTACACAACACATACCACTTGTTGGCTGAAGGATTGGACAGACAGACAGACCCGTCAGTCCCGGTAGAGAGTGATAGAGTGACTGGAGAGAAGTGAGTGGACGGGTAGGTCTACCGATGCGCTCTCGGACTGCCCCACAGATTTGTTTGGCAATTATTTTTCAAATTTCTGTCGATTTTTAAATTAGTGTCACATTTATAGTGATTTCTCTCTCTCTCTCAATGTTCAATCAATTTGTGTGTTAAGCCACTGAACACACCATATAATAGCGAATCAATTGAATGTTTTGTACGAAAACATCAAAACAAAAACCACTGATTTGTTTGGTTTGTATGGGTTTTAGTGGCGTTTCTTTTCGGTGAAACGTCCAGTCGTTTAGTTTTGGTTCATTGGGTTTCAGGCGCTGAATATATCACTCGTGTGTTGCTTCAGACAAGTGAATAGGAAATTGATTTTAGAAATTATTATCCGATATGTGAGAGACGCCGAGAGAGAGAGAGAGAGAGAGAGAGAGGATAGTTGTAAGATATAAATAGCACCCGAATAACTTAAGCTTTAAATTAAGATTGGCTATACCTATGCTGTATACTAGTATACCAGGGGCTGGTAGTTATTGGTGTGCCTTATAATGAGTCTTATGTTTCGCTTCTGGTATCACCCGCTGCGACCAAATTAGTGGTGCGTTTGTAAACAAAAACCCCTTTTAAGGTGAAGGGAACTGGCGTTTTCATTAAATACTAGCTCCAGAAATATTCGCTTTAAACATTCCTCCCCAATACACACACACACGGTGTTGGCCATACCTTTTGATGAGATACCTGTGCCGCGTATACTGTATATTCATATGAATGTATGCATAAGTTATACGCGTTTGACTTAAGTAATACAAAAATTCTCGGTACTGAATACCTGACTTTGTCTGGAGGGTAACAAACTGGTGTTCTATTATGATTACTCTTTATAGAGAGAGCAGGATACAAAAATCCCGATAATCATAATGGTTAGTGATTGCGAGCGCTGAGTGTGTATTGATTGGCAAAATAGTAATTCAAGAATGAATGCAAGTTTTTATTGACTCAAATTGTTTATGTCAAAATATGGTATTCATGTTTTTAATGAATAATGTTTAAGTTTTTAGGAGTTCTGGATATTCCATGGAAAGTCCCAAACTGTGATCAGCACCAGTAGCCTACATTCAAATCCTAATTCACTATCCTTTGAGACTGAAAGTTCAGAAAGTTTTTGTCGATCCCGAAGTAATGAATCCGATTATTTGTATTTCTGTGAATTTGACTTAAAGTTTGGTTTATTAAACAAACTTATAAGTAAAATTTCAATTACTTTTTTCCATGAAACTAATAGATTACTAGAAAATTACTAATTTAATTGAATTTTTATTCAAATCTAAATTAATATCAAATACACTTATAATTTAAACGATTATAGCATTTCATGTTTCAATTCATTACTCCAATTAACAAGTAAAAGTAAATGAGCACATAATTTAGTGGTAATTGTTTTATTCAGAGCTAACATATTTGAATGAATACATGATTAGCAGTCAATTAACTTATGAAACGGGGAGTAAACACATGACCACTAATTATGGCCGTACTTCTGGAACTCCCACTCCGTGTTGTCCAGTGGACAGACAGCCCGAGTCTTAAGCCACCGGTTGATACAGTGGAAGTGAAAGCCGTGGTTACAGACTCCCTGAGCCACTGTGCACGACTCGGCACCGGGATCACCACCACTGCCGCATTGGGCCTGACATTCAATGCAAAACTCCATTATGTTATTACGACAAATGGCACAGTTATCTACCACCACATCCCAGCCCCATTGTGCCACCATATGACACCGTTTTACGATAAATACTTTGTCTGTACGATTAGTACCCGATGTCGGGGGCTGGGACTCCACGTCCATCGGCTCGTTACCATTATTCATATTATCGGCCATTGCTGTCACTTTCTGGATGTGTCTCAATCAATGAATTACTTTTGAAAGGGGTATAATGGCATTAAATGTTAGACATACTTACGTTAATATAGCAAATATCAAGAGAATAATTAATTTAAGTAACTTATGAATTGAATAGCTTTACATCGGATTTGTATCATAACTTATATGACTTGAGTCTAGCACTCGGTGCGTGTGAAATGAGTTGTGAATGGATTTTGTTTGATTGGATTCAATGAGATATCAAATTGATATCAAAAGATGACATGTACTCTACAAGTAGTATAAAAGTTAATATTAAATTTATCATACTTTCAATGTGCTATGCACTCATATGTAAGCAGAGTTCATGTCATCATTTGGTATATTTCCATCTCATCATTAATGTTGCATTCAATACTAACTATCATTTTTCAATGAGATAATTGAGTGGATTAGTGAATTTGTGATTTTAAACTATTGAAAGTTTTCAAGTCATGTATACAATTATAATGAATAAAAGTTAAAAACGTTTATTCAATCGATTCTCTGCTTACAAAGTTAAGTTTAATGATACAATTATTATCATTATTAAACATTTGAATTCACAAAAAATGTTTATTAGTAATCAGAGTATTGTCTGCATTTGAGCCACGATTGGATCCAATGATGTGATGGCAAAGAGTTGGCATTCATTTGAATTAAATGTTAGAATAAATACTTACAATGACTTCAATGGTTGTCTTCTGGAGACCAGTTGTCAAGTGATGATCCTATCATACAATCGGAGATTATCTGTCAATAAATCAAAAGTTAGAAAATAAAAATACAAATCTTTAGCCCTTTCTCAACCCCATCCACACACTGGACCACTACTACTGGCACTGGTATGTGGAGGACGAAGGGCTCCGTGAATACCAGCCATGATAGCGACCATTCCATCCAGTGTTGACCGCATGTCCACGAAATCCATGTCCACTCACTCCTAATAACAAAAACAAAACGCCAGCCCTTGATATCCCTTTCCCGACCCCTTCACATACCGGAGCACTACTCATACAAATACTTCGCACGTGTGAAGGACTCGGAACCATAACCTCAAAGGCTGACCACCAGCTGTTCGTATCCAACGACCAGTCCTTCCCGTGTCTGACCACTCATTGAACGCAAACATCTCTTCCATGTCTTCCGTTGTCTGTAATCTCTGTAAACATAAAACACAACAAAAAAAAGTTTAGTCTTTAAGTCTAACAGAAGTTGCGATGAAATGCCAACTCTCTGTCGATCACAGCATTGGATCCAACGGTGACTCCAAATGCAGACAATATTTTGCTACGAATTCCTGATATTTGTTTTAAAAGTGTTTTCAATAAAAAATTTTATTTCATATTTACATACAATTCATGGCAACAATAGTAATGAGAATATTCTTACAAAAATCAAATTCAAACAAAATTCTTAACCGTTTCTATCTATAAGAGTCACAAAATGTCACAGCAATTGATCCACAAGACTAAAGTTGTATTCAAAATCAGCAACTTTTCGCGTATAAGGGACACAAAAGAGATGGTCATAAGCGATATCTTCAGCATCGGATCCGATAAGTGGGAGATCAGAGTTGACACACATTCAAGAAGTGAGGAATATTTGTCTGTATTTCTATATTTAGTCAAAAGCTATGAGACATCAGTTGAGGCCAAATATGATGTCTATATTCTGGACACGAAGTCAGGCCAACGGTTTGGTGAAAGAACCTGCAGAAGAGGTCCGTTCAATACAAATGGATTGTCTGGAGGTGTGAATCAGTTCATCAAGTATTCTACACTTTTGGATCAAATGGACACATATCTGCCCAATAATACGCTTACCATTGGTCTCGACATCACTGTCTACAAGGCATTAGTTGGAGTTCACTGGACGGTAGGTCTCGGGAACTGTTTTAACGACAAAGACTTCAACGACTTTCGTCTCGTCGTCCGGAATGAAGAGTTCTTCGCCTCGAAAGCGGTTCTCAGCGCCAAATCAGAGGTCTTTCGGCACATGTTTTCAATCGATATGAGAGAGAAGAAGTCAAACATTGTGTTCATCGATGATGTCGATAGAGATGTCTTCGAGGAGTTCCTTAAGTATCTGTATTTCGGGACTTCAGACAAATTGAACGAATTGGCGGAACAACTACTTTACGTCTCCAATAAGTATATGGTTTGGGATTTGAAGACTATTTGCGAGAATCTGCTGTTTCTGCGAATCAATACCACAAATGTCTACAAAATAGCGGAAGTGATGGATGAATACAATAACGAAGAGCTGAGGATGAGGTGCATTGACTTCATTGACCAGAATTGTAGCCAATCTTTGGACAAGATATTGAGTCAACTGTTAGGACATGTTTTGTCACTCCTGAAGAATCTGATCATTGATTTTCTGAGATGTCGTGGCATTCATATAGAGCCCGCAAAGCCTAAGATATGCACACAAGTCATGTCTTACACCTACAGTTACTTCGAGCCTAAAGTCGATTATCAATGAATTTAATGATAATAAATTGAATTTAGTAATCAATGAATGGTACCATACTTTACAATAAACTAAATCTCAACTAAATATCAGAACTGATATACGACTAGGAAGTAGACAGTAATATTGTATTGCATTTAACACCTAGGTGCTAAATGGATTAGTGTATTACTGTACACCACTTGCAATGATCGCAGTATTAGTGCAGTACTAGAGTTGACTCAAAACTGGAGTTTTTTCTATAAACTGTATAATAGTCTCCTATTAATTGACTGTTTTCTACAGCAAACCCAGTGTTAAGACAGTATTCCTCTACCAGAAGTACCATAAGTAGTGGTCATGTCTAGTGTTGCCAACCCTCCAGTTTTCGCCTGAAGTCTCCAGGAATCGGAAGTTCAACACAGACTTCAGTTTGAGGTCTGGCCTGGATATGGGGAACTCCAGGAAAAAATTCTTAGCATTTTAAAACTAAAAATACATGTTTCTATATAAGATTATATCACTTTTGTATAAAGTTTTTGGGCCAATAATTCAATGCCAACAGAAAAGTGGTATTCAATTGGGACTCAACTGATGAGGGACTGGGACTGAGAGGCCATTTGTTTGGCAGCTCTCGGGGACAGACACTCATAGGAATGAAATGTGAAGTCAATCAGAGGTACACCACAAGTGTCAGCCACTCAGGTATGGTATTGGCAGCACAGGTATGGTTATTGGCGTTTTGTTTGACATACTGTTAACTGTTTCGTACGGTACGGCTGATTGACAGGTAGGCTAACTGTGCGCCGCAAATATGCAGATCCGAGTGCCAGAGCAGCACCGGTTGGG